GGTTCTAAGAGCCATCTATCCAGAGGGTGATGAAGGGGATTGTTAGAGGTGAGTGACTGGAAGCTAGCCAAGACTCTCAACTCCAGAACCAACAGGCTTTTAAATCTTGTAGTATTGTTGAGCACTGTCTACTCCCTCTGCCCATTTTAAACAATTTTCTTTTTGTTACATTTATTGATTTGGGGAGGAGGCACACACCGGCCATGATGCACACGTGGAAGTCAGAGGACAACTTGTGGGACTCAGGTCCCTCCTGGGTCCTTCGGATCAAGCTCAGGTCATGGGGCTGTTGGCAAATGCCCTTACCCACTGAGCTATCTCTCCTGCCCTCCTCTCCCAATCTCTTGACTTTGGAGACAGGTTGCAACTGGAAGTCAGAGGCTTCTCGGAGCTGATGGAGCCTTGGTGGAGCCCAGAAGGATCTAAGAAAGCACTCAGTCTGGATCAGCATTACAGAAGACCAGACCTCTCCGGTGTGCAGAGTGACACCCACTCCTACTGGGAAGTGCCCTCAAAGCTTTGGGTACTGAGTACAAAGATGGCCTGTGCGGGTCCCTCTCTAAGCTGCAGAGAAAGCCCTAGTCCTTCACCCTACCCTGGTCCAATCAGACCAGCCGGGCACCTGCAGTCCCTTGCAGTCTGCCCTGCCCCCTCCAAGCCTTTTCTCACTAGACTCCGGCTGCCTGCATTTCCAGCTCCTTCATCAGCCTTCACCTGTCCCAAGTTCCATTATCTCATTGCCTTGCTCCCTGCCAATGTGAAAACAAGTGATAAATTGGTGTTGGCAGATTAATGTGTTACTCCAGCTAGGTAACAAATTTGCATTGAACAAGGGCATACTGACCGTGCCTCAGTGCCAAAGGCTCACGGATGGCAGCGGGGAATGTGGGCACCACAGCAGGCCAGCAAAGGAAATGTTTGAGGGCAAGAGGGTCTCTGCTGGTGCCTGGATGCCTCCATCTGCCACAATCTCGAATGATAATTTCATCCCTGGCTGTCAAGGCCAAAGGTACATCGAGGAATGAAATGATGGGTTGGTGAGATGGCTCATAAGGTAAAGGTGTCTGCCACGAAGCCCAGCTCCCTGAATTCCATCCCTGGGACCCACATAGTGGAAGGAGAGAACCAACTCCTGCAAGTTGTCCTCTGACTTCCACTGAGTGCATCGTGGCATGCACGTGCCCACGCATATACACACTGTACACAAAATAAATAAAATGTAATAATTTTTTTAAAAATTAGGGCCAAAGTTGTCCTCTGACTTCCACTGAGTGCATCGTGGCATGCACGTGCCCACGCACATACACACTGTACACAAAATAAATAAAATGTAATAATTTTTTAAAAAATTAGGGCCAAGTGTGATGGCACATGCCTGTAGTCCCAGCACTCGGGAGGCAGAGGCAGGTGGATCTCTGTGAGTTCAAAGCCAGCCTCCTGGTCTACATAGTGAGTTCCAGGTCAGCTGGGGCTATAGGGAGACCCTGTCTCAAAATTTAAAAAAAAAAAAAAAATGGCCCTTTCGACTGTCTCCAAGCTCAAGGGGTTTCATTTACACTTGGTGACATTCTGTACCATAGAAGGCCTACTTGGAAGTAGAGAGATAGCCTTTCCCCAACCAGAAGCTAGAATTTAGAAGGTGGAAACTGGGTGTGATAGTGCACATCTATCATCCAAGCATTTGAGAGGTGGAGGCAGGAGGATCAAGTGTTCGAGGCTGGCCTTGGCTACATAGTGAGTTTGAGGCCAGTCTGGGCTACCTGAGACTGTCTCAAAATAAAACAAGTCCAGGCATAGTGGCATACACCTTTAATCCCAGCACTCAAGAGGCAGAGGCAGGTGGATCTCTGTAAGATTGAGGCTAACCTGGTCTACAGAGAGGGAGAAAAGTGAGTGATATTTGACCCAACTACATGTTCCTTTCCAAGGCAGCTCCCTTTTATCAGCCTCTTCTCTCTAGTCAAGTTCAGTTTAAATGGCCCCCTTGCTGGATACATTTAGGAGAGAAATTGTGAATCTCATGCAACCTTAGACACAATAGCTCTGTGCCTCAGTTCCCCAACTGTGAATTGACCTATTTATAGCACTGGCCTCATGAGATTGCTGTGGTAATTGAGCCTGTGGAATGCATACAAAGAGCCCTTTGCTCTGCCCCTACTGAGCCCTCCAAGTGGATGTCTGGTGAATGTTGTCACTGTCTGCAGTAGGTACTGCTGCTTGTGCCTGGCTGGTACTCCCTCCACATTCACCTCTGCACACTGAAAGGCGGGTTACTGAGCACCCCTCAACTCTGCCTGAAAGCTTCTGTTTGATGGCTGAGGGGTCATGACAGAACATTCAGGGACAAGACTGAAGTGTCAGAGAGTCAATGTCCCAGAAGCACCCCTGGAGCAATGGATAGAGAGACCATCCTGTATCTCCCTCGGGCAGGATGCTCTGTGCCTCATTCCCCAGGAGCTTGTACACAGACCCAGTTCAGGTTGCCCAGGTGCCCACTGCTCTGAAGTGTGATATGCCAAGACTGGCTGCTTTCTCTTCCCCTATGGTATGTCATTCTTCAGTCAGTGCTCCTGGGCACATCTCCCAAACAAAACAATGCACTTGCATCCCTGTCTCAGAACAACCACACTAGGATCTCAGCCTATAGACCCAGGTTGTCATGTCTGGGCCACAACAGACTGACCTGTGGAACTTAACAAAACAGAGTCCTTATTCTGATTGGTCCCTGATGTGGCTGGCACCTGGGCATGTTTGTGTGGTTTTGTGTGTGTGTGTGTGTGTGTGTGTGTGTGTGTGTATGTATGTATTGCCTGCATGTATGTAAGTGCACCCATGTCATGCAATATCTGTGGAGGTTAGAAGAGGGCGTTGGATCCCCTGGAACTAAAGTTACAAACAGTTGTTAGCTACCATGTGGGTACTGGGACTTGAACATGGGTCCTCTGCAAGCCAGTCCTCTTAACCACTGAGAGCCATCTTTCCAGTCCCACATTTAGGGGTTTTGTTGGGTGTTTTATTTTGTTTTGTTTTGAGACAGGGTCTCTTGCAGCCCAGACTGGCTTCAAAGTTGCTATGAAGCAGGGATGACCTTAAACTCCTGATCCTTCCACCTCCAGGTCCCAAGTTCTAGGATTCTGAGCAGGAGATATCACACCCATCTTAACACTTGCTGTTAAAGGGGAGTGTCCCCAGGCTAGCCACTGAGCTGCAGTTCTGGAGGATGTATCTAAGGGTGAGTAACCAAGATTCCTAACCAAGTGCCCTCTTCGTCATCACTTTCCTCTGTTGTGGCCCCATTTCAGCCCCTCCGCAGCCCAGGATCCTGCAGGCCTCACTGGAGAGGCCAGTAGAAGCCCAGAGCTGGCAGCAGGCCTACTTGGGTACTCCTCTGTTCCAGAAGGTAGAAAAAGACTTCTGGGAGGAATAGGGGAGTAAGGGAGTCCCCCACACAGGGGTCTTAGACTCAATGGGCCAGACAGACCAGAGAAGCCATTGGAGTTGTTTCCTAGGTTACCATAACAAATCACAAGAGGGGTAGCTTTAACCAACAGCCATGTATTCTCCCTGGATTCTGGAAGCCCGCATCTGAACCGAGGGCATCAGTGAGGCTGGATCCTTATTGGACGCTGTGATGAAGACATTGTCCCAGCCCTCCCTGCTAGCTGCAGCTACAGTTGACACTGTTCCTCGGCTAGTGGCCACATCACATCACTCCCTTCTGTCTTCATGTGGCCTGTATATGTCTATCTCTAAAATTCCCTCTTTAAAGACACCTGTCCTTGGATATTGGGCCCATTCTGATCAGGAATGACCTCATTTTATCTAAGGATATGAGCATCGACTCTGTTTCCAAATCACGTTGCATTTTGATGTTGTGGGAGCACATAGCGTTTGAGGGGACACTGTTCGGCCCTCTACAGTGACCTCATGGAGCATGATAGAGTGGTCAGAGCTGCTGAGGGGTGGCATTCCCTGAGGACTGTAGGCCATCACAGCTTTGTGTGGCCATGGGCCCAGTTCCTTCAAAAGAAGCCAACAATCTGGTCTTCTCGAGTGAAGTTGCATAATTTAAAAAATGTAGGCTCAATATTTTTGGAACATTGTGGGAGACCAGTAAAATCCACTTGATGGCCTGCCTTACAGCTCTCTGGAACTCCCTGGCCTGCAGCACGTTTCCCCCAGGACCTCTCTGGCTCTCAGAACCTTGACTGGGCTCCTACCTTCCCAGGGCTTCAAGAAGCTTCCATAGCTTACAGACGGGGCCTGGGGCAGGAAGAAGGAAACATGCAGTTCACTGTGTTTCAAATCCCCACTTAATGTGCTCCGGCTGCAGCAGCAGACAGCACGTTACAAGGCAATAGGCCATTGTCCTTTGCTGGAGTGGGGAGCATTAATAATGTCATAACAGCATTTACCGACACTGCACACAAATCATCCAACAGCGCCGGGCGGGAACAGCCAGCCCCAGACTGC